GTGGGCGCGCAGCCCGGGGCGCGGGGGCGGGCGGGGGTCGCCGCCCGCTCGGCCTGTCGGTCTGCCCGAGCTCCGCGGCTCCGAGCTGGGGGCAGGGACTGTGGCCCGCGGAGGCGCGCGGTGCTCATTAGGGGGCGAGGGGCGGGGGCGCGCGCCCCCATCCTGTGGGCTCAGGGGACCCTCGAAATCGCCAGTGCGCGGCAGAAGGAGGGCACGTTTTGAAAGGCCAGAAAATTCAGCTCGTTTCCCCGCCTCCCACCTCCCCCACCCCTTCCCTTCCAAACCCGGGGAAGGCGCAGAACCCGGAGTTATAAAAAGCCAGCGCTGGAGAGGAGCGAGGGGGGCGGGGGAGGACGGCCCCCGAGGACCGGGGTCTCCGCGCCCCTCCGGCGGCAGGATAGGGGCGCGGGGGAGGGAGGGAGGGAGGGAGGGGCGGGACCCGGGACCCGGGACCCGGGACCCGCGCCCGGCTCGGCTCTGCGCCTTCGTGGCTCGGCCGGCGCCGCCGCCGCCGCGGCAGGGGCTCCGGAGGTTTGGGGAGAGGGGGTCGCCCCAGGTCAGAGGGACTGCCTTGGGCACCCCGTCCGTGGTGGCCGGTGACAGGTGGGCATCTGAAGTCCCAGAACCCCACCCGGCTTTTAAGATCTAGGAAAAGCACACCCACTGCCATCCCCCTGCCCCTCCACCCTGATTATCTCGAGTGGGGGTGGTGGTGGAAGATGAGAACTCATTTTAAAAAGAAAGAAAAAGTTTTTCTCGCCGCTGCCCTCTCTCCCCGTGGCGGGGCCAGCTTCGGGACAGCGGGGAGACCCACAGAGTAGGGAGTTTCAGCACTCGAAGGGGCGGACAGCGCCCGGGCAGCTGGGTCGCGCCTGGGCCGCAGAAGCCCGGGTGGGGCTGCCCGGGCCGGGCTCCTCGGGGCCTCTCCCCTCCCCAGGCGGCCCCCTCCCTCCCCCCGCTGGGTGGGGCCGGCTTCAGCACCGGTGGGAGGACAGCGCCTGTCCGTCCCGGCCCCTTGAGCCCGCTTAAGCGCGCGCGCGGAAGGTCAAGGCGGCGGGGACCCGGGTAGGGAGCCGAGGAGGGGCCGTGCCCAGCTCCCGGCCTGCTGACCCGCGTCTGCTTTCGCTTTCTGCCTCGCAGCCTTCGGGATGGAGGTGAGAAGGGGGCCGTGACGCACGTCCGCGCGAACCCCTGCACCCCAGCGGCCCACGGCGCTCCCTGCCCCCCTCCCCGGGCGGCAGCCGGCCTCGCCATCGAGTGAGAGCGGCCTGGGGGGGCAGGGGGGGCGAGGGCGGCCGGACCAGCGATGCCGGCGGGCATGACGAAGCATGGCTCCCGCTCCACCAGCTCGCTGCCGCCCGAGCCCATGGAGATCGTCCGCAGCAAGGCGTGCTCAAGGCGCGTGCGCCTCAACGTTGGGGGCCTGGCGCACGAGGTGCTGTGGCGCACCCTGGACCGCCTGCCCCGCACGCGGCTGGGCAAGCTCCGCGACTGCAACACGCACGACTCCCTGCTGGAAGTGTGCGATGACTACAGCCTCGACGACAATGAGTACTTCTTCGACCGCCACCCGGGCGCCTTCACCTCCATCCTCAACTTCTACCGCACGGGGCGGCTGCACATGATGGAGGAGATGTGCGCGCTCAGCTTTAGCCAAGAGCTCGACTACTGGGGCATCGACGAGATCTACCTGGAGTCCTGCTGCCAGGCCCGTTACCACCAGAAGAAGGAGCAGATGAACGAGGAGCTCAAGCGCGAGGCCGAGACGCTGCGGGAGCGCGAGGGTGAGGAGTTCGACAACACGTGCTGCGCGGAGAAGAGGAAGAAGCTCTGGGACCTGCTGGAGAAGCCCAATTCCTCCGTGGCCGCCAAGGTGAGTGGGGGCCGGCGCTGTGGGGTGCAGGGCTGAGCCTGCGTCCCCAGATCGAGGGCTGCTGCTGGGGATCTCGGGATCCATAACCTTAGACTTCCCACCGGCCATCCGTCACCCCTCCTCTGATTCGATACTGTGTACCCCAACTTGGTTGGAGAAAACGATTTACAGATCCTCATGAAAAGCTACCGCCCTGGCAAGAGAGAACCCAGAAATAGAGCATGGCTGGGATGGGGTGAAGTTGGGTCTGGCTCCCTGGGAAGCCCCAGGCCCAGGCTAGAGTGGGTGGCTTTCAACTTTGGTTCTGATCCCTGTGCTTATAACCCCACTTTGCCCCAGGAAAGAATAAGATCGGCCTAGACATGCCTGGAGGCCACTGAGATGCTGTCAGGTAGTTTTTAAAGAAATAAGAAAAAACGAAGGGAAGAGATACAGAGGGTGGCATGAAAGGGTCCAACACGTGGCATGGGCTGTGAATGCCTGCGAGGAGGGGGTCACCTGGCTATTTATTTACCTATTTGATGAGTTTCTCCCAAGAGTGGTTTGATGCAGCTTCTAAAGGAGCTTTGGCTATTGAAGGAGGATGTACATCTTAAAACCGGAGAGAATAATGACGCAATTTGACAAGTAAGGGAGCAGAGACAGGACCAAGTGTGACCCCCAGCCAGGGTGGGTGCCAGGGGGAAGCAGAGGCCTCTCAATGGGAGCTTGGTGGCTCAGTCGACCCCTCACTGCTGTCCAGCTGGAAGGGGACTCTGGCATCCTCTCCCCGGCTTTGGCTGCTCAGAGAGAAGCCCCCAGAGTAGAGGCACAGGAGGGGCAGCTGGTGGAGGTGGAAGGAGGCCACATACTTTTCTGGCCTGTGGATGCTAAGGAGGACATGGAGGTCCTGGGCCCAGTCTCCTCCCGGGAGGCTGTGGGCTGCCCCGGGCCATAATCCTGCCCGATTTCCTGTCCAGAGAGGCCCCACCTTAAGACTGAGTTGCTCACCCTTAACCAGCTTAGGATCAACAGACTTACTTCGCTATTTCCAGGTCTGAGACGGGTTCCCCCACTGCCCATCCCGTTTAGGCTCAAACTGCCTCTTCCTCCTTCCTGTCCTGTCCCTGAGGAGGAGATCACAGGGCAGGACGTGGGGGCTCTGCCTTCTCTGCCAAGAAGCAGAGGGCTGTGTGTGAGTTGGAGCTGGCGGCAAGACGAAGGTGCTCGGGTGTGCAGGAGGTGCTCTGTGGGTATAAACAGCCTCTCCTCTCCCAGGGGTTAATCCGCCCACAGGCCAGAGCTTTGGAGCTTCCTGACCTCTCTGTGATCCCAGGCTGGGCTGTCAGTTTGCATTCCTGGCAGATGGACCATCTAGGATTTTTCTGCAGCTGGAGCTGAAACAGGCAGGCAGGCGGGCCCATTGGAAATCCTGACTGCCATTGAACAAATACCTAACAAATAGTGCTGCTCAGAGAGGTGAAGCACCTATCCCAGGTCACACAGCAGGCAGACAGGAGTGGCCATAATTCAAACCCAAGTGTGATTGTGAACACTCTGTTCCTTCCGTAATGATTAAGTGCCACAGCTTCCTCCTGTCTCCCTGCTTCCACTTTTGCCCCTTACAATCCATTCCCCACACAGCAGCCAAAGTGAGCTTTTCAAAATGTAAATTGGATCACATTATTCATCTGCTTAAAATCCTCTGGAGATTTCCTATCACACTCAGAATAAAATCCAGACTCCATTGTGGCATATGAGGCCTACAGGATCTGGTGCCTAGACTCTTGAGCTCATCTCTTCTGCTCTCCGGCTCACTGGGTTCTGCCCTACTGGCCTCCTTGCCATCTCCAGAAGGCCAGGATATACTCTACCCCAGGACCTTTGCACTTGCTGCTCCTGCTGCCTGCCATGCTCTTCCCAATTGTTCTGCTGCCAGCCCTTTATCCTCATTCCCCATTCAAGCAGCTCTGTATCCCCCACTCTGTTGCATCCCACAATGTCCTTCCCACGTAGGCCTGAAGCCCCATTTCATATTGTATTTGCCTTGTGTTTCTTTGCATCACACCCACAAGAATATGAACTCCTTAAATTGTATTCACTGGTCTGTGCCCCCCCCATCTGGGTACCTGACACAGAGGAGCTCTGATAACCACATGGGGAAGGAGTGAATGAGGGAATGAGCGAAGAAAGCCGTCAGCCAGCTGTCACTTTTTCCTCACCGTCGGCAGGTACCTCAGCCCCCCAAGCTCAGCCTTCTTTCAGGCGTCTGCTCTCGGCCATCCCAGTTCCCCAGCCCAGACACCTTGCTGGGCAGAACAGCAGGCCCCATGGGAATTTCTCCAAGCCCACAGATGAGAGAGCACGAGTAGGACAGTGACAGGGGCTGGTGAGGTACAAACATGGCCATGTCCCATTTGCCTAAGAACAAGGAGAGATCAGGGTTCAGGCTCAGCTCCTCCATCTCCCTGGTCCCAGGCAATTTCTTCACCTCTCCAAGCCCAGCCTCACACTGAGACATGGAGACCAAGGCCCTGTCTTGCCAGGTAGTCATGAAATCGCGTTTTTCATGAAGTGGTTTGGAGCCTTACACATAGTCAGTGGGCATTGCTGTCCTCCAGGATGAAGGGCAGAGTCCTTTCCGGGTGGGGTGGGCTGAGCTGCAGCAAGCCCTTCTCTCCTGTGGAGGCTGAGCGACGCTGTTAATAATTGATGGGCCGTGCTGGCAGCTCAGAGACAAACCACAGCACAGGCCCTGGGCTTCTCCACCAGGGAGCGAAAATCAAAATCCATTAGGCAGAAGACAGCAAGAGTGATTCTTCTTTGGAAGATGGGGTGGGCCCTGTTGGGCTGATGGTGTCTCAGTTCTGGGGACACTGCAGGCTTCTGCTTTCTGGGAAAACCCAACAGGCATTTCTCAGTAGGAGTGGACAGATCTGGCTTGCCAGGCCTTCCTCAGGATTAAAGCCCAGAGATAATTCTCATTTCCAGAGTAGCTGCTGTTTATTGTGCCAAGCACTGATTAGTGGTATTTCATAGGTGCTATCTCATTGAAATCCTTCCAACAATCCAATTAGGTAGTGAGCCTGGTAGGCCTGCTTTGGGCTGTAAGTAACAGAATAGAAAACTCAAAGCAGCTTCAAAAAGGTAGAAGATGCGTCATCTCACATATCCTGAAGTTCCAAGATAGCTGGTTTCCAGTTGAGTTTAAAGCTCAGTGATGCCATCAGGATTTCAGATTCTTCCCATCTCTCTACTCCTCCAACCTCTGCAAGTGACTTGGTCCTCACGCTTGATGCCTCATATCACAACATGGATGCCCCGTTCCAGCCCTGTGATGTCCACCCTACACCTGAAGAGAAGCATTCTTTCTATGGTCTATTTTTTTTTTTCCTTCAGGGAAAAACTTTCCCAGGAACATCTTAGCAGACTTTTTGACAGTCCCATTGCCCAGGATCAGGTCATACACATGCCCTAGCCATGGGGAAAACTGGGGAAGCAAGTATCTAGCATTTTCAGATGAGAGAGGGAATGGATTTTCCGAGTGACACTAAGGCTTGTACATGGAAGAGGAAATGGAAGCCCTGAGGGGTGACATCCCTTGCCTGAGCTCACACAGCTAAATTATCAGTAACTATTTGCCAAAGGGGTGAAAGTGGCAGAGCCGGGCCGGGGATTTAGCTCAGTGGTTTCGCCGCCTGTTGCGCAAGTGCAAGGACCTGAGTTGGATCCCCGGTACCAAAAAAAAAAAAGAAAAAAGAAAGAAAGTGACAGAGCCAAGGTTTGGACCCTGGTTCACCTAGTTCCCAGCCTGAGTTTCTGAGTCCCGGAGACCCAGGCAGGTCCCTCGAGCTGTGACCTCCAGCAGCTGACCTACCGAATGGTGGTAATAGCTGTGGCCAGCTCTCAGGGCTGTATGGATGGTTTGGTGAGATTTAGATGTGAGTGCAATTTGCAGATACGGGGTGCTTCATAATTTTATTATTATGTACTCTATCCCAGAATAGGAGTGGTATTTGGTCGGGGACCTTGGTCGGGGACCCTGGTCGAGATCTTGCCCACCACATATTTGACTGATATTCAGCTCTAGGGTACGACTCATATGGGTTCATCCCTCTCCTCGTTGTTTCCCAGGAACATGATTTGGGCACAGTCCTGTCCTCTTCTGAGTCTTGGCTCCCCATCTAGAAGTGGGAGTTAGGTCGGAGGCCCCGGTGCAGGTAACCTGGATAACCCTGCCCTGGCGCCGGGCATGCTGGGAGCACCTGGTGAGTGACCACAGTGATTGTGTCATCGCCATCACAGTGCTGACTGCAGGGTCACCACCTATGGTTCTTTGGGATTTCTGTGCGTCATCGAGGCTTTTCTTTTTTCTTTTTTTTTTTTGGTACCAGGGATTGAACTCGGGTCCTTGTGCTTGCAAGGCAGGCGGTGGAACCACTGAGCGAAATCCCAGCCCAAGGCTTTTCGTTTGTGTGTTATCACCAAGCAAAATAGGGGACCAATTCGGAAGCCCTGGGCCCCTCTGTGCTCTCAGGGGTCTGGCTGAGCATCTGCCCGGCCCCAGGGCAGGCATCTCAGGTCCCCGTCTTAGGTCAGGGACAAAGTGCCAGGGATTGAGTCTTGGCTGTGAACCAGGAAAACCAAGACCTGGGTTGGAGGCCCAGCCCTGCCTTCTCCAAGCTGTGGACTTTGGAAAAGCCACGCCAGAGCTTTCATTTCCGGTCTTTGAAGAGAGTGTGAATCAAACCTGCCTCACAGGATTGTTCAAAGGATTAATATGATAGTGCATGAAAAACACTGAAGCATGGTAAATCCATTGTCTCTATTTGACATAGGGAAATGGGGAAGCACAGGGTGCTTCTGTGACTGCCTGAGGCACGCGGTGGTCAGGGAAAGGTCACAGCCATTTGCGGCCTTTCTGCCCCACCACCGCCATCCCGTCTGGGCCGGGGATCTTTCTGCCCCTCCAGGATGCCTGGCCAGCCTCATGTATTGGCAACCGTCTCTCGGGGGTTTTG